CTTTTCTGCAGAACTTTTTATGTTTCCCATAGGTTTTCCGAGATCTTGATCTCAGAAAACCTATGATCAACTCTGCACATTAATATAATTCACAAACATCATTTTTGCAGTATGGCAACTTACATCATCTTGTTGAAAAATTACATTAGGTTGTAAAGTTTTTCCAGGTTTGGAGAAAGGTTTTTCTGAAGATCTACTGATATTTTTCTTCATTCACTGTTCTCATTGATACAATGCAAAACATTCAAATGTTGAATATTCATGCGATCAAATACCATAATGCTTGCTAGAACTAGTTGTACAATCAAGGTATTCATCTGAAGGTGATCACCTTTTTGTTGCTTTCGATGCAAACTTCAAAGTTGGCTTTACCACTGATAGCAATGCTGTTCCACTACTGCTGCAATAAATTTTGATGGGTTTTTTTGTCTACTTTACTTAATTTTTCATTTGAGGACTTTTCATTAGCCTCAAAAGAAAAATCACTTATAATCACATTGGCACATAATCATTACATTAGCAAAAACCCATCAAAATTGACAGTTTTATTCAATTAAAATATAATCAATAAGCTCATTTAAAATTTATCATTCTACACAAAAATCTTCAGTATAGCAAATATTTTCTGGGTTCCATCTATAAGTGATTCATGTCTATCTGTCTCACTGTAATGAGTTCTCTTTCAATTTTGCATCTGCTTCCCAAAGTGGCAATTTAGCATTCTTAAGACTGACCAACTTCAACTGGCATGGATTTGGATTAAGGTGACAGTAATGGCAACCCATTTCATGCCAATTGCCAACAATCAGACATTCAAGCTTATTTCAGAATTTAAAAAATAAGAAGAAACCAAGTTGTTTTCAATTCTGTCATGTCCAATCACCAGGAACAAGCAGGAACCTTTTATTAGGTTATGCCTCTGTAAAATTATGTAATGGCATGCCAGTGTGAGATTTGAATTCACATTTCCCTTGTGTTTGGAGTATGAAAGGGTCAGACTTCAAAATCCTGACAAATGCTCATTATAAAAATTTACTATTTTCATTACATATCTCAATTTCCATCACCTGCCATATCCTAGAACTGGCAAAAACAAAAATAGATGATGCCCTTTCTCTAATTGAAATAAACTCCATATTTTCTGCCTTCATATGATTTCTGTCTTTAGTGAGTTTGCTATGGCACAAACAATTGACCCAGAACTGCAACAGCTGTTAAAGAATGCACAGAACTCATCCTATAACCTTCTCCATTAACTGATCTGATCTGTGATATATCATAGATACATCTACTGATTATATATAACTTTTCTTTATATTGTTTATTATTTTTTAAAACTAAATTTTTTAAAACTTTATTAACTAGGCCAGGGGTGGCAAACCTATGGCATGCATGCCCAAAGTGGCACGCAAGGAGAAATCATCTGGCACATAATGTATCATATGATTTCTGTCTTTTTCAATCATCTTTTCAGTTTATCACCTGATCATCCTTTTTTCAATCAGCTTTTTTACATTTATTCTAATTAAAGCGTATTTGTTTAAATTCTTTAAATATCGTTATTCAAAGTCTGAAACTTTGGCACTCATAAACATCTTTAAAGCTAAGTATGCTTATAATATGGCACGTGAACACAAAAAGGTTCGCCATCCCTGGACTAGGCTATCTATCAATAGGCCAAAGAGTATAATAATAAAAGTAATCAATAAAGAAATCTGTGATTAATGCAGTTTGAATGGATGCTTGAATGTTTCCAGGTAAATAGTTAAATAAATCTTTGGCTAAATATTCCATTGTTGGGCCGCAATTTTAAAAAATTGTAGATCAATACATTTTCACTGTTGTCCATTTGTCTGTCTTTCCTTAATCTTGAGAATGGAGTTAAATAGATGAAAGACAAGACCAGATATGAAAAATAAGGGCAGGAGACCCCAATTAACTATATGTGAAACTTCTGATGCAAACTGGAAGTCACGTTATTTCAATTAAAAAATTTCCCCTGAAAGTAGATAGATGACTGGCACAACGTGATTGCTAAAGAAAACATATGATGTACAGAGGCAAGACACTGCTAATTTGAAGGTGGAGAGCATATATTTTAAATTAAATAAATTAAAAATTGCAGCCTGGCATTGTGGTGATGTCATGATAAAATAATTGCTCGTTACATTTAAAAACTGATTGGCATTTTCATTAAACAATTTGTTCATAATGTTATGAGATATTGTTATCAATGAATAATATTTATGAACCAAATGGGATCACCTTAACTATTTGCAGTACTCTAACTAGGCAGGTGCAATTGGTACACAGGATAAAGGGGGCCCTGAAATGCAGTATCAAATAATGATCAGTATTATATTTTTATTTTTAAATTCTGCCTTTGTGAAGGCTGATTTCATAATATATTTGGTTAAAGTTAAAAATCAATTTATCATTTCTATTGTATTTATTTTTTCCAAAAAGTGGGATCAAGTAAAACCTTGCACAGGCACATTAAAAGCTATTTATGACACTGATTATTGGTGTATCAGAGGTATTTGAAGAACCATTTTCACCACTTAAATAGGTTTGAACATCCAAGAGCAACAACAAAACTTGTATCAACCTGTTACATCTAGCCCAGCATGAAGAAAGATATTTGCAAGTGAGTACTAAATTGCATTCCCTGCCAATGATCAAAAATCCAGCAACAACACACTTATAGTAACATTTGGACTCCCTAATGCACAATTTTCTCATGTACTGTACAGTATATGTGAATCTGATTATTATTCTTCCATGATCTGAAGGAAAATACAGCTGCCTCACAGTGATCAATTGGTTTACTTAGATGGCCAGAAGTAATCCCAATCTCAAACATGTCTGCTAAGAGCCTTCTTTGCAGAACTGATTTGGTTGTCCAGTCACCATCTCTGCTGAGCTGACCAAGGACATCAATTTGTGTCTAACCTCTTCCATGAATAAACTTATTGCAACAAATTGCAAAAAAATCCACTCTTATCCCTGCTTAAATGGTTTAGTATAATGCATGCACAGACACTTGAAAACATTGTTGATGATACACAAATCTACCAAATGAACTGATGCACTGCTACCTGCTCTACCTACTGACTCTTGATCAGCTGTCAAAGTCAATGTTGGTACAACTTCACTAAAACTAGTATAAGGCACAAACATTTAAGACTGCCTTCAGACATTATTAGCCCTAATACTCCAACAACTCCAGGTGACTCCTTTATTGATCAAGTCAGAAATAACACAGAAAAGCTGAGACCAACAGCAGCAACAGCTCTTTGCTGGCAAAACATTTGTTCATTGAGATCTAAATGAATAGTCGTGTATTTTTAAGCATTGATGCCAACAGACTGCCACTGCATCAATCTTATTCTAGTCCTTTAGGTGCTGAAAAGTAGCAGCAAAACTCTAACCATTGACATCAAAGTTACATGCCACAAACTAGTTTACTGTTGCGATTGATAGATGAAAACTTGCATGTGCCCTACTCATCATGATATACTCCTCATCTGCATCACAGATCCAACCCACCATCTGCAACCATAAATCAGAACCACAATAAAAAGACACTACAACCAATACGATTATGTAACTCTATATATTATTTCCCAGAAGCTAGTAATTATAATGAAAATTCAGTTATGTACATATATTTTAATCTAAACTATGTGATTATAATTGCACACAATTTTGGTGTTTTATCATCATCACTGCTAAATTGTGTCATTTGTCTTTCACTATATAGTGACTGATGCCAACATTCCTTTTTCTTGCCACAAGGTGGCACTGCCAGAAGCACACCAGTAAGTGGGAGATTCAAATTTGCATTTCTCTTATATTTTGGCAATGAAAGAGTCAGACTCCACAAGTAGAATAAACTAATTGATTTGTTTTGACAAGTAACAAAATGACACAACAGATTATATCCAATATTTAAATAAGTAGAAATGCTCCTTTTTTTGGTTTTTTCACTGGTATTTTTTGTCAATATCAGAAGTGTCTTTCTAATTTCCACTTATTTCTTTAAAAGTTTATGCAAGCATTGCACTTTTATTGTGTTAATTACATTTATTGATGTTATAGTTTAATACAAAACTCTTTTGTAATCATATCTTCCTTCCTATTTTGCTATCTGTAAAATAAAATGCTTCTAATAATCAGGAGACATCAAGGTATTTTTTGTTTGGTTGTAACTTACACTGTCTCTCATTCAAAATTTTTGTGTTCTGGTACTTCAATGCTAACGATTAGAAGTTTCCAAAAGATATTTTTAGTTCCAAAGATAAGGCAAAATTAAGAATTTATTTTTGCTTTCACAATGCTTTCCCCTCCAAAGTAAACAGTTTGCTTTGGAGGGGACATTGTGAAAGCAAATATAAATTAGATAACTCAAAATCAAAGCATTTATACTCTTTGCTCAGGAAACAATTTCATACAGATTTCAATACAAACCACATCATTTCTTACACATATTTAAAAGGAATATTTCACTTTACTGCCATTTGACTTCAAAATATTAATTTAAAATTTCGACACGTACAAATTTCTAACATATTTACTAAAAACCAACGTATTGACACTTCATTACAGCTAGCCACTATGCACGATATTGAACCGATCATCGACCTATAAGCACACTACAACCTTTCTATTCATCCTAAATAATCGAATAATTTCTCATTTGCGTCATCTTACAGGCCAATACAAAGTACAAATGTTTACTTCGCAAGCCAATTTCACGAATAATAAAAATAAACAAATCAGCCGGCGATAAACACGTTGCACTGACATCCACCATCCAATATGTCAAATTTTTCAAGTGTTGCCAAATATCAAAATCTCTCGCAATAATACCGCTATAATTATATTTATACAAAATACGTACCAAAAGTAAATAATAAATTAATAATTCCGAAATACATTTAAGTTAATCGACGAGACAGAAAAATCACACGAGGTAAGTAGTAGCACTGATTACTCGAAGTAGTCACGTGATTTGAGTGCTGCTTTAGAGTAGAGATCGCAATGGCGGTTCCCGGTTTCTCGCGAACGGGAATGCTAGAAGTGTTTACGCGGCAGCAATGGTACAAAGTGTTGGTTACCTTAGAGGAAGACTGTCTATGCATTAATTTAGACGAAAGCTACGACGCTTCGTCGACAAACGGTCCGAGTAACGGCTTATCGGATACGGAACCTCCGGATATTCCGGAGAGTATTACAAACCAGAAACGTGTGGTCCGTGTTGTGAAGCAAGACAACAACGGTTTGGGAATCAGTATCAAAGGCGGAAAAGAAAACAAGATGCCCATCCTCATCAGTAAGATATTCAAGGGTATGGCAGCCGATCAAACCGAGCAGTTGTATGTGGGTGATGCTATCCTGTCAGTCAATGGAGAGGACCTGAGAGAAGCAACACACGACGAAGCCGTCAGGGCCCTTAAAAGGGCCGGTAAGATCGTAGATTTAGAAGGTGAGGATACTTTATAATACGTTAAACCACTGATAAAACTTCTGCATGAAATTTTCAACTAAATCTTAATTATCTATTGATTTGGTTCTTGTTTTATAACTATAAACAAAATCTGTTTCAATAAATAATATACGGGTTTTGTTATTTACAAGATGATAAAAAGTTATGGAACGGTTGTTAAGATTTATTTACACTTACAACACCATTGATCTTGTACAAATATTTGTTCCTATATCTGATGTTTCGGACTGGTGCTACAAAGTAGCAATATAACAGTAGTAAATCATATTTGCATTGTTATAATACAGACAAATCTTTATTCCTTAAGCGAGGGAAGAGAATTTGAGATTTACTTTGTAAACGGTATTATAACTGTCGAGTGTATAAGAATAATGAAGTGTAATTGTTTTTTTCTCTTATAGAAATATAGCAGCTTGATTATCGAATTCTTATTTTCATGGATTATAATTCCAATATTGAATTGAAGAAACTTTATTTTTTCGAATTAAAAAACTCTTTATAAATAGACATCTATGTAATTTTCATTCCAGTTTTAATTACTCTAAATCAAAAAATTATATGGAGATAATTACTTTTAAATATTTCAATACCTATACAGTTATGTTTTATAAATGTATTGATGTTATTAACTTTTCATTTTGAAAGTATTGATACACAGATATTAAAAATAACTTATCTCCTTTTCATATCTTTTTATTATTGAATAAAATAACAAATATTCATAATAAAAAAATTATAAAATAATTGCAGATACTTATATTATTAGGAATTAAACAGATAAATTCAGATGTTTTTTATTTATATGATCCCATCATTTTACTCATAAAATAATCAGTATTTGCATAGTGGTACAGTACATTGTTTATCTTATAAATAAGATTTAATTGAATAACGATAAAAATATTTTCTTATTACGTGCTATAAATACGATAATATAAATGAATAGACACATATACATTTATAATAATTAGTAATTCCGAAGGAAGTATATAATTGCTTTGTAGAGATGATGATAATATCTTTCTAAAGAAAATATGACATTAATTATATCTATTATCAAGATTATTAATTAAGTGATTACTGAAGTCTTTTATCAGCTGCATTTTATGATTAAATTCAATAATTATATAGACTTTTGGATTGTATGAAATGAAAGCTGTAATTTTAGATTATATCTGAAACTTAAGATAATCATATAACATAAAAAAAATGAAATAAGATATAAAAATTATTTTTCATCTCATATATATTATTATTATGCACCTAAGATTAATGCTAATTATGAGAAAATTTTTAATCTAATTTTCTAATTTTTTTCAAAACTAAGAATAATTAGAATCAAAGTTTCAGAATATTTCAAAAAATAAACATTATTTTATTCACCTCACACTATTAAAAAAACATTTGTATTATATAGATAAAGTGTGTATAAATTCATAACAAAAAATTAATTCTATGATGCTTATTGTATGTCAAAATATTAAAGCAGTGTATAAATATAGGAAAAAAAATTATTAAAATTATCATTTCTTCTTTTAGTCATTTATTTTAAAACATTCAATATATCTGTTTAATAGTCATAACATCAAACTTGTATTTAATTACTGCTTGATAATGATGGAATTACTAAATAGCTACCACTGCCAAGTATTGGTATTGCCAGTTATGCAATTATATTGAAATAAATATCGTTAATTTATATATTTTTAGTTAAATTTTTCCCTATCAGAAATTACAAAAACATGTATAGTAATTTTATTGGCATTTTAATTACAACTACTGTAATAAATTTTGTAATTCTTGAATCATTACTATTTTAATTATATTTTAAAAGGAATTGCTCTCCCTATTAAAAACCTATAAAAGACTTTTTACTGGTTTGACTACATAGTTTGACTATGCACAATCTCCTTACTTGATTTATAAAATTGATTGTGTAGAATAAATCTTGTTAAAAATATGAATTCTTCTATTCATAAATTAATTGTGTTAATATAATTTTATAGTTTGAATTAACTGTTTACAAGTTTCAATATTTTGATGACTTACTTTGTATAGATCTCAAAAAAATTTAGCATTTAGGATATTTTCAATGCTGTAGGAAATATAATCTTAGAAAGAAATGTTATGAATCTACCAGTATAATATATTATTATTCATAACGATTAATTAATTAATAAGTAGAGAATTCACTATTTGATATGTGAAGAAAGATGGATAGTTGAAAATAGCTTGAGTAAGTTTTAAAGCTTTGTACTGATAAACATTAGCATTTTTGCCATTTTTGCATGAATACTGTGCAGTTCTTTTCTGGAAGAATTGTACAGAAGATCAGTTGGACATCTGGGTAGAATAATTGGCAATGGATTTGTAAAGTGCAAATCTTTTCTTTATTCTCAGCACACCCTCTTTTCCTGATATGATATCCGACTTTTAATTCATTTGTATATAATAAAGACATGCACGATGTAAATTAAGCTTATCCCTACATAATCCTCTCTCGTAATCTTCTCTAGCAACACTTTATTGGCTAATGCAGTATCAATTAGTATTCTTGCCATATTGAATATATGGAGCTGTATATCTGCTAAACATGTCATTTTAGTTAATTGGCTGAGATACTATATTCATAGGAAAAGGTTAGGGGCCAGCTCATCTGTAAAAATAGCAGAAAAATAAAAAATTAGCTAATTAACAAAATGCAATATCAGATTAAATGAGTGCAATGTTAGGTATTTGACGAGCTTTCCTGATGAGTACTGTTAATATTACAATTTGAACTTGTATACAGTTAACTCAAAGTCTTATGCATTTTTTAAAATAATTTAATGATTAAAATATTTTTAAAATAGTTATTATTTAATTATATTAAATAAAAAATATATGTTACATTTTAGGATTTTTATTATATCAAGCTTTTAAAATCATTATTCGATTACTTTTATCATTTAACATTTATTTTTATGATTGATTAAATACATATTAATATACAAGGAACAACATATTCAGATATTATATATAATATTAATATAAAATATTCAGAAGNTTCAGAAATGCACTGAAACATACTCTTTCAATTATATTTCTCAGCTGTTACAACTACTAATATGTTGAATTTACATATTACAATATAAATTAATTTGTGTCAGCTGTCTAAGAGATTTTTAATAAGAATTAAATAAAAATGATAATAGTTTATGTAATAAAATAATTTTTACTTTTGATTAAATTTCTTGAAATAAAAATTAGATTAAAAAAATTTAATGCAGAATAATTTGAAGTTATTGATTTTTTTTTCACTGTTTATGTATAAATTATAACAAAATCTTTCACTATTAAGAAAAAGTTCTTTTAAATGTTTATTTTTTATCCAGAAGGTTTGCATACTGTTTCTTTAAAGCTGATAGAATTATCTATAAAAATTGCTAGAGAGAATGTTGTTATTTATAACAGTAATTCAATAAAATTCATTAAAAAAATGTATATAATTTTTAATAAAATCTTTTAAATGCTTTCTAACATTATTTATATAACTGAAGACCTTAAGATAAACTTATAAATTTTAAATATTTTGTCTCTAACTGTTCAGTCATGTCTGACTTTCACAGACTTTACAAGCTCTTTCCATTTCTTGTAATTTCTTACAGCTTCCCTTAAAACTTTGAGAGTTAATCCATCATCTTGTTTGATGGTGTCCAAGTTGAATTCATCATGTGCTTCTGCCTTACTTTAAATTTAAGAATTTTTTTTTTCTTTTTCCAAAACTTAAAGTTTGGATATATCTTAAATCTCTTCAAAACGTTGTGTAATGAAAATTTTATAGTGTTTCTTTATTTTAAACTATCTTTACTCATAATTATCATTTTCTTTTTTCTGAAAATCTCTTTTTAAAAGTCGTGGCATATCTTACATTTAAAGTAATAGTATTATTTTCTTCACATTTTTATCATTATATATATTACTTTATAAATTTATTAAATAGTAATATAAAACTAATATATAACATATTGTAAACTTAAAAAATTTATCAAACTTAACTGTCTGATTCTTATGCCAAAATTCTATTATGACTTTATAAAATATATTTTTTTAATTGCTAAAAATATGTTTTTTAAAGTACTCTAATTGATTTCAGATTAAAATTTCATATATTAATTTAAAAAAATTTTTTTTCTTTAATTTTTTTGTACTAAAATTATAAAAAAGTTATAATTTATATAATTATATCAACTAATGTTTTTTTATGGCTCCTATTTCATGTGAAATTATTTAACCGAAACTAAGTATTTTCGAAAAATTAATATAAGTGTTTTACTTGACATCTGGTTATCAGAGACAAGATACTGGCCATTTAAGAAGAAAGAATGTTTAAAAGAAATTTCTATTTTAATTTCTTTATCAACTTAAATATTTTCCAGAGATTTATTCTAAAACATGAATAACAGAAAATCATTTTGTCAAAAGTTTCAATCATTTCCTATTCACTGTCTTCGTGCTTCATCTGCCGTAAATATTGATTTTAATTTTACGGTATGGCATTGTGACAGCAGACTGCATTGTATTAAAACCTACAAATTGATGTTTGACTGTCCAAATCTGCAATCATTTACTTTGCCAATAAAAAGTGTTTTATATATATAAAACTATCTGGAAAAATAAAATTTAAAATAAAGACTTTCTGTGTATTTTCATTTGTCATTTAATCTATCCTTATTGATATTAATGTTATGACTATTAAAGTATAATATCCTAAAGATATACAGTAATAGAGATAATATTTTTTTGTAATTTTTAATAGTTGTAACTTATAAAGAGATGCTTATCTTTAAAAGCAGACATGATAGATGATCCCTTCTAAAAATCTTAGTTTCTATGGAATGTAAGAACAGTCGCATACTTAGATGGGTGATATGGGTGTTGGATCTCCCCACAGGTTTTATAATACACTTAATTTTTCTTCATTCTGATTATACTTTTTA